GAGAACAATACAGATACATATATGACAAGAAGAGAAAATACCCATAGCAGAAGAATAGAGAACGAATATATATATGACTATTATACAATTGTCTCTTATGGCACGTCTTTAATATGTGCCATAACAATCTGTACTTGTCTTGACTATAAATTCGTTTAAGAGACACAGTGCCCGTCATGACGCCTCGTCTGGATGCCCATCAGCGCGACCTAAGAAATGCAAAAAAACAATAACGCCGAAGAATGTCTAGCACTAGGTGTTGACTAGTCAGCTAGGTGGTCTAAACGAAAGAAGGATAGAGAAATAGATTGGATTCGAACATGTGATACTTTGTTTTACATACCTGTGCATTTACCAGTGGAGCTATTTGACCACGAAACTTTATGAGTATCAGTACCTAGGGTACATGAATGATATTTATTCACTAAAAAACTCTGGATAACTCAGATTTCTCAGTCGAGTTATTACAGCTGTCATATAAAAGCAAAGCTTATTATTAATTATTAACATGCTGTTGTTCTTTCTCATTGTCTCATGTTGGACCCGTTACCAACATTCAGTGGAAAACTGACCGAAAATGTGCCCAAGTGGCTGAAAGATATTACGAACGAATTAAATCTGGTGAAGTTCGACGATAGCCAAAAACTGGGGATTATTCAAACATATTTGGTTGATGATGCAAGAAAATGGTTCACCAATAACATGAGAACATTAGAGACATGGTCAGAATTCAATGAAGCAATTGAGAAAACGTACTCATCGACGTTTGCAAAAGAAGTAGCCATTAGTCAACTAGGACAGCGTCGTCAAGGCTTAGATGAGACTGTCATGCACTATTACAACGACATGATGGAATTATTTGAGGTTATGGATGATCGAATGAGCGACTCATTAAAGGTCAGCTATTTAAAAAGTGGGCTGAAATTGTCATTGAAGAAGGAAGTGCGAAGGAAAAATCCCCCAACACCATCTGAGTTCATCAAAGCGGCTCAAGAAGAAGAAAGCCTTGATTACTCCATGGCCGCATCAATGCACAACATGGAAATTCAAAACAATGAGACAAAAAGAATAACAACCACGACAATGATAAATTCAACACTAATACACCAAAACTATCATTATACGTCCTACCCGCAGCATCAATTTCAAAACGATGGCAAAAATTATTACGCAAGGACGACATCATCGATCAAACAGCATCTACCATATCAGTATCAACAACAACTATGCTACAAATGCAACAAGAGTGGTCATTTTGCTCGTGACTGGTTTCTGCCGAAGAAATCGGTGTTGCTACAACTTCATGCTTTTTCCTGAAGAAATCGATGCTTTTTGACGAACAGTTCAGGTTTTTTCACCAGAAATACGTGTTTTTCCGTGAAAAAATCACTGTAACTCCAAAAGAACTTTAGGTTCCTGCCCGAAGAAATCGGTGTTACTGGACAAGCACTTCCCGTTTTTGCCTGATGACATCAGTCGTTCTTGAAAAGAACTTCATCTTTCTTCCCGATGAAATCGGTGCTTCTAAACACGAACATCGACTAAATTATCGTGATGAAATCAGTCATTCTCGAGAAGAACTTCATGTTTTTTCCCGATGAAATCCGTGTTGCGCCACACGATCAACATGTTTTTAAGTGGAAAAATCAGTGCTTCTGGATGAAATCTGTGTGTTTGCACAAACACATCATGTTTTCACCAGAAGAAATCGCTTTTTCTGCACGACAACTGTATGCCGAGAAACACCGATTTCTCTGCAACAATCATGTTTTTCCGGCTGAGATCTGT